ATCTTTTTTTTTTAAAGATTTTATTTATTTATTTGAGAGAGAATGAGAGATAGAGAGCACGAGAGGGAAGAGGGTCAGAGGGAGAAGCAGACTCCCCGCTGAGCAGGGAGCCCAATATGGGACTCGATCCCGGGACTCCAGGATCATGACCTGAGCCGAAGGCAGTCGCTTAACCAACTGAGCCACCCAGGCGCCCCTACATCTTTTAAAAAAAGGACATTTTCTTCCATTACTGTACAATGCCATTAACCACCCCCAACAAAATTAACAGTAATTCCTCCATATCATCTAATACCCAATTTACATTCAGATTTCCCAGACTGCTCCAAGATGTCTTTTTACAATTAATTTACTGAACTGGTATCCAAACAAGGTTTGAAGTTTGTAATTGGTTTTTCCCTTAAGTCTCCTTTAATCTAGAACATACCTCCTCTCCCTTTTTCCCCACTTGCCATTGACTTGTCAGGGAGACTGTCCTGTAATACATCTAAACTGTCTGGATTGTGCTCATTGTATCCTTTAGTGGGAAAAATAGTATTTAGAGATCGCAGTCTTACAGGGGTGCTCCTTGCTAACTGGGTTTTCATTGCTTCTTGGCCTTTTGATTGGGCAGAACTAGGGAAATACATAGTTTTAAAAAGAAGCAAATAATGACTTCATACTAGTATTTTCCATCCAAATTTAAGATTACAAGAGCTTTAAATTATTTGATTATATTTGTACCTTTTCTCTGATTGTGAAAATCTTAGTTCTTAACGTTAATATAATTAATAATCACTTAATCCTAACATGTAGATATATTTTGTATTTGTGTATGGAAGAGAGTTTCTCAGTAATAATACCAATACTCTCATGACAGCAATATTTTGATGAGGAAGATGGTACACACCTGGCCTGAGATGGAAGTGCTAATTCAGGATTTCTTAACTTCAGCACTACTGACATTTTGGGCCAGATAATGCTTTGCGGGGGCTGTCCTGGGCATTGTATGGTGCTGAGTAGCATCCCTGGCCTTTCCTCACTAGATACCTCACTGAAAGTGAACAGTCCCCTGTAACTGTACCCTGGCAAATATAAATCTTCCCAGAGTCTTGTGTGTGTGTAGCTTAGACACACACACACACACACACACACACACACACACACACACACACACAAACTTCCATTGTAACAACCAAAATTTGCTTTCAGACATTGCCAAATGTTCCCTGTGGGTGGTGGTGGGGGGGCGGGGGTAAAATCATCCCTAGTTGAGACTCACTGAACAGAAGTGAGTGACAGACATTATATAGAAACAAACTGTCACATGCCCCACAGATGATCTCTCAAGGGGTTTTTTAAAGCCCCCAAAATAATTGAATTTGGTTAACTTACACAAAAGGTGGCATATTATATAAATTGTTCTGTATCTTGATTTTTTTTCTTAACAAAATATTCTGAGCAGAAAGGTTTTACTCCCTTTATAGCTGTGTATGTTCCATTTTGTGCAGCATATGATAGTCTATCCCAATCACCTGAAGATGGGCATTTGGGTTATTCCTACTCTTGCTATTATGAATAATGTTGTAATGAATAATGGTGCGCATATATCACTTTGTGTATTTGCCAGTGTATCTTTGGGATAGGTTCCTGGAAATAGAACTGCTGGGTCAAAGGGTTAATGGGCATGAAATTATAGTAGAGATTGCCAAATTTCCCTCCATAGAGGTTGTACATTTTGTATTCCCACTAGTGTCCTGCTTTCATTACTTAACTTTATAGTGAGAACATTTCCAAAGTCATTAAATAATCCTTGAAAATTGGATTTTGTAATGGCTGTCCAAAATTCCCACATGTGAATATGCCACAATTTAGTTAATCATTCTTTTCCTGTTGAACATATATGATGCTCCCAACTTTTCTCTATTATAAATAACACTGAAATGAACTTCCTTGAATAAAAATCTTTGACCAAAATTTGGGTTTTTTCTTGAGGACAGATTTCTGGAAGTAGGATTACTGTATAAAAAGGACATGGATGGTTTTTAAGCCCCTGGCTACATACTGCCCAAGTCCATCTATGAGGAGATACTGTGTTCTTATTGAGGCTATTGGAACAGACCTTTCTCTTGGCTTCAGTGTCTTACATGAGGGAACAAACTTATCTGATTAAAGCAGACAGTCCTTCTGGGGGAAATAACTAAATCATACCAAACTATATAAAAACCCAATCTTAAAATCCCCAAAGAGATTCTTCATGGTTGGTTAGTGGTAGTTCTCCCCTACAGCTTCTTTCAGGGCACAAGGCTATCGTTTACTACTTGTTAATTTACCATCTTCCCTGAGGGGGAGTCCATTCTGTCTCAAAGGGTTGGTCAATTTTCCCTTCTCAGCAGTGAAGCCTCTCTACCAAGGAGCACCTTCCCTCATCTATAGCATCACAGAGATGACTGGAAGGAAGCAAGAAGTAACAGCGTGGCTG